CAATGGTTGGAAAGAAGTTATTGTATTTACCCTGTCGTCATCACATTTATGAGATAATTTTGAGAAGTGTTTTTGATCATAAATTCGGTTCAACATTTGGACCAAATGTCCCTTTATTTCAACGGTTTCAATTAGCGTGGCTAAGACTTAATCTCAACAACTTCAAACCTAGACTTCAAGATACTAAAGTTAGTCAACAATTTAATAATTCGATTGAATGTATTTTAAAATTTTGCATGTCTGAATTAACTAAGATTCAATGTAGATTAACGAGAATTTCTTGAACTAACCGTTATCTTTTTAAATGGTACTCCTGCTCGTCAAATCTTTTTTCGAGTTTCAGGAGCAATTCATCATACTCGCTGGATGTCGCAGGCCATTTATTGTTCAAAAATATTTATACTTCACCAAGAATATAAATTAAACAAAAGAGAATACGATTCAGTTCGTGATATTTGTATTTTTATTGTTTTTTGCTATGTTAAAGCGTGGTTTAATGCACCAAATGTTTGTGTTGCACCACGCCAAGACTTACAATTTTTGCGTGATCTTTATGATTATAAGACAATAGATGAAAATTTATCTGAAGTTACACTAAAAAAAATTATCAATCATCTATGGTATTTGTCTCCAGAGTCAGTTGGATTTGCATTTTTCGATGATGAAATTTCTGACAATACAAAAATTAAAATGATTCAAGCTTTAAAAAAAATAATAATGTAGATGGAGACTCAATTAATGTAGAAAAATGATTATGTGTAAAATTAAACGAAATACCAAGTTTTATAAATAATACGATTGAATCATTTATTTCAGATAAAACTTTAAATTTTTTTAAAAGTTTCAATATAAATTATAACTTTATTGAAACATGGCCATCAACTTGGGAGAACAATTTAGAATACAAACGGGATAAAGAAATTATCAGCAAATTAAAAATTGTAAATTATATGGCTGAACGAGCTGTTAAATTAATTGATGATTTTAACAAAATTGGTTCAAAAAATTAAGAACAGAAGCAGTATATTCTTCAAGTTGTCACGGAATACAGGCATTAGTATTCAAATTCAAACAAAAGCACTCTTATGGAAAAATTATAGTATATGCATGCAAAATAAAATATTGGTAGACATTTATTAAAAATGTATTAATTATTATAAATTGTTTATAAAATTAAAATTCGTTTTTCCTTACAAAATATGTATTTATTATTTAATTTTTTCGTTAATTTTATGAATTACTCAATTTTTAAAAATATTAACAACGTGAAATTTTCAAGAACTTTGGGGCACGGGTTAAACTTATCCGATTATGCTCACATTTTGTATGCATCATTTTTATACATATTGGAACTTAATTAGGGGGATCGGCCACAAAAATTTAAATATTTAAAAATAAGGACCATCCTAATCTATATACACTAATGCTATATATCAGTGGTTACTGGTTGGCTTTATTATTATATATTACTTAAATCTAAGTTCATACATTGTTATTTATGGAACGTTCTAGCCAAATATTGACGCTTTATGTCCATGTGTTCACACAATTATTATCTATATTATTATTATATGAGTATAATATTAGCTATTGGGTATACGTATATTAAATTCCCGGCATTGGGCAACGAGTATCACCCAATCGTCGATTATATAGAAAAAAAAGTTAATCGTTATAAAATTGAATGATATTGAAATATATTTCAACGTATACGTATACGTTCATTTTTATATGTTTTCTGTGTAAATAATTATATGATACATTTTCTTTGTTTATAGAATATGTATATTTAAAATTTAAAACATATATACGTTAATACTATGTGTTTATTATTCCTCGTTTCACTTCTCACAAAAAAAAAAAAAAATATTATCTTTTTCAAAATTATCTAGATAATTCATAATAGATAACCATTTTATTTAAAAAGATGGATAAAAAGATACTTCAAATTCTTATTATCTAGATAAGATAAAAAATTAATATTTTATTAATAATTTTTATCTAGATAATGCAAAACAATGTCTGTTGGTAAAACGCCTTGTTAGTTGTTGTTACTATACCTTTAAAATGAGTGACATTGAAAATGTAGTGAACCAAAGCGAGAGTGTGAATAAATTAGAAGATGTAATAGGAAATTACAAAGTGAATTATGCTGGTAAATTGATTAATCAAATACAAATACAAGTAAAATAATATATATATAATATTTTAAAATGCAAAGTTTTAAACGAATACCTATGATAAAAATTAAATTGTTTGATTGTTTTATATTATTAATATACTATATAATATATTGGACTTAAGTTTCATCCTAGAAGTCATAGTAAAAAATCTACATAGCTATAACAGCTAGATATTTAGTTTTTTTTTATATTTTATGAAAATAGCAAGAGTCTTGCGTAAGATCAAGACCAAGACCAAGACTGGGTCTGCTAGACCAAGATTTTGAAAATCTTGGCCTTGGTCTTGTTTTGATCATCACTTATTATAAGTCAAAGAGCGATAATTTGTTTCCCCTGGTCTAGCGTGTCATCGTTTCACCTGGGCGCAAGTTCAGCACACTTGTCAGGTGTTCGTGCGTATTCACCGACCACATGAAGGGCTTCGAGCAAAAACGGGGTAAATCCATTTTTTTTTTGAAAGTGGGGTTTCGACCGTTTATTATCAAAAAAAAAAAAAAAAATAAAATTACTAGTACATCTGTGCAAGAACGAGACAACTCCGATCATTAATACAGGATATATAAAGTAAATGGAGTTGTTTGGTTTTTTTTTTTTTTTTCAGTTGAAAAATCAGATAACTCTGTTGTTCTAACCAGAGGTCAGGCCACCGTGATATACACCAATTCGTCCGTGGGTATTCATCGTGTTCGATAGCGATTTTTCGGTCTGAATGTATTGTTTTCATATCATCGTTTTTGTTGTTATTATTCCATCTTGTGGGACCGATATATGGCGATCTACGTGTTGTATTGACATTTAATTTTAAGTTATTGATATTGTACTGTATATTGTAATCTCTACTGATTAATAATTTGTTAAACGCATTTCATTTTTAGCGAGTAATAATAATTTTACTACTAATCGAATTTAAATAGTATTTTATTTGTATTTTTGAAATCAATACTGATGTGTGCATTGTTAAAGGTTTCACTCGCGGAGACACATTCATACGAGTGTCGTGCAAAAAATATTGAAACATAAAAAAATAAAAAATAAAAAAATAAAAACAAAAGTTGTTGTACAAGCACCCTTTAAAAGGCAAGAAATATACGTGAACACATACGGTTTAATGCACGTGCCCCATTGTAATGCCTCTACCGCACGGACTTCTTGTTTGGTGTTTGACGCGCATCCATCACCGGCCTGTAGATACATTTTTGCCGCGTATTTTCAGTTCCGTTACGGTCTCACGTCTACATATCCGTATTCAAATGATCCCACGGCGTATACGCATCACCTAACGTTCCAGCGGTGCATGTGTGCAGGTTAAGCTAGGCACGGTGTCCGGCCTCCGTGGCAAGGAGTGGGTGATATGTATGTTAGAACACCTACCATGGACCGTATTTTATTATATTTCACCATATTGCTAACTTACAGTATAATTTGCCCTACATGAGTACTAGTCTATTTAATTGTAAAACACTCCCACTAAATTAATTCTGGATACGTCCCTGCTTCGCGGGGTAATGCTTCTAGGAGTGATGTGATCAGTGCGCGAAGGCGACGAAATTATGCCTGCACATCCTCGCCCTCAGTCGGTCATCGACCGTGTGCCTACATAACTTTCTGGTGAAGTACATGGTTTGCATTCGTGGATCGCTGTGCCTGGCAACGATTCATCGGCGCTGAACTGACACGCAATGCAATGATATCAACTATGGTATAGTTGAATGCGTACCGCGAAACCGATTCTATGGTTGACGCAACAAATGGAGATCCATCGGGAAGATAATATGCACGTTACGATCGATATAATCGAAATGTTCACCACGAATCGCATAGCTTACGTCAGTTTTGAACAAATAAGTCCTATGGGAATTGTTTTATCCGTAATATTCAGCATTTTATAGCTTGCAAGTAAAAACGTTTTAAACCAACTAACTCTTTTCGGCCACTTTGCTTATATACTTACACATTTTTCATTGTTTATATGAAAACATTTTGAATGAGATATACACCGGTAAATCAGTCGTTTACGATAGAGGATATTTAGGGACCAACAATACATTTTTAATAACTAAACGCTCAAAAAATTTAGAAATTAATTAATATAATAATAAAAGTAATAGTAATAATGATTATTAAATTATTTATTTTCTAAAAATTGTTACTTAAAAGTAACTAAGATAAAAGTATAAAATCAAATGATTTTAATTAAAAATAACAATATTATGAAGTTAGTGACTTAACTGTTGGATAGATTGACAACAAATAGCTCAAAATATTATAGCTCTATACAGTAATCGACTTTTTATATCTCAATTCTATCCCTAATATGAGAATAATTCAATCGTACTTTGTTGTTTAATAAACAACTAAAACTATTACAAAAGATCCAACAAATATCGTGTTGAGACAGCTGGATCGGATTTTGTATTGGATCACATTGAACAGGTTTCAATGGGAACAGTAAACCTATTTACCTATTTATCGTATAGGAAAATTAGGTTTTTGCGTTTCAAAAAAATACCCTCTTCTCGAAATCCACTGGTAATTCATCGATAAATAACGACGACAGTATAAATAAAAACAATGAAATAAGCACTCGTAAACGTAATTCTGTTGTAAAAGTAAATGCATATATTAAAGGAGAAAACATTTTAATTACATTTGTTAAACATTCAACAACCGGAGAACGGCGTGGGAAAAAAGATACAACGATTAATATACAACGGCTTGTACACGAGCCATGGAGTAGCGTAACGCACGACGATATGTGTCGTGTCCGGACATGTACGGGTTCAAACGTGCCGCTGGGCCACAGGTCCGTCCCGTCGTCTAGCGCATCATGCGCACTCTGGCGTACGGCGGACTCACGGGACCCACGTGACCGTGGACGTGCCTATGCGCGCGCAACACGGTGTCGTTGCGGCACCGTTTGCCGCATACGTCACAGCGCGCGACTCGCTTCGGCCGCAGGTATGGGCCTCCGATGCCAGCATGCTCGCTGGCCACCACGGCTCCGTGCTGGACGTGCACGTGGTCGATCAGCGACGCAACGTCGCCCATGTACAGGCAGCACACGCCGCACATGGCGGCCCGCGCCTTGGGATGCGCACGGTCCACGTGTTTGTGTAGCGAGCCGCGGTTGTGGGACAGCCGGCCGCAGATTTCGCATGTGTACACGCGCAGAGCCGTGGCCGTCGCGTGGTGTTCCACGTGCGACACGTTCGTGGACACCGCGGAGAACCGTCTGCCACAACCCGTGAACGGGCAGTGTAACGAGTCCGCGTCGCCGTGAACCGCGCGCGCGTGTCTCCACAGATCCGTCATATCCGCGCAAAACGTCCGGCACCGCTCGCATACCTCTCCACCGGCGGTCAGGTCCCACGGCACCGCGCCTCCATCCTTCTGGTGCTCGGCTACCGACGACCGGTCGTGAAGTTGGTCCGTCTGAAAAACAACGACTAGTTATAGATTTACACGTCACGACGTGACGTGTGACGTTATTCGCGTAGGCCTACATTCATTCATTGACGGTGGCCGTTGGACCGTTCGATTATGTTTTCTAGATCACATCGATCTAGACCTAGCCCTAGCCAATAAACTTAACTTATACTGACCAGATCTAGATCATAATATATTTACTGCTTCCTTCTTTCGCTAAACTATTCCCTCATCTGCATACCTACTCACCACCCACCCAACTGTTTGATATCCTATCTATTTACACTTGTCTTTTTCTGTTTTCTACCCCACATTTTTTTTTTCCAAACACTTTCCTATACCTACTGATCTCTCGATATAATTATTCTCCTTATTACTTGTTCTCCCACCGCCATCTCACTATATATACATCTCAATGTGTTATAAAATATTGGCAATTTGTAATAGAATAAAAGCAAAAGAGTAAAAATAAAATGTTATTTTTCACCCCTTAGGAGTAGACGATTTATGGTTCAACCAGTGGAAAAACCTTTATTTACATTTGTCGGTTCAGAAAAATTGCACAGACTTTTGTTGGGCATGAAAGACTCGTGAAAACGATTTTCAACTTTTGCTCGTCAATGATTTGAACATACTATATTACACTGATTCCATCTCATTTTTCACTCATTTCAAATATCCCTGAACAAATATTCTTTTTGCGTTCATCGTATGAGCCTGTTACTTGAGACATACTTATAACTATAATAGTATGCCTATATTGTTCAACTTCCTATCAGTTTTCTCAACATTCAAAATTCCTTAATTGTGACTCAATAATTATTAATTTTTTACTCTCATTTTTTCACTCTCAACATTTTCCGTTTCTTTACACACATATTATTATTATTATTATTATTATTATTTTTATTTTACTGTATAATATAAAGCGTGATACATATATTGATATTTATATATATATTTAGATATTTTCGCTCCTAAACTTAATATTTAAAATATTTTATTTTAGAAAAAAATACGAGAAGTTAATTTGTTTATATATTTATGGACCGAATAAATAAATTTTAAATATTTATTCAATTTTATGATTATAAATAATCTTAGTTCAAATTTTGAAATTTATAACCCAATTATTATAATAACAAATAAATTACTATAGATAAAATAATTTACAAATAATGTGAAATAATTGATTCGATCCATAAAAATATTTTTTAAATTACAATTTTTATTTCTGATTTTTCTTATTATGATTTTCTTAAAAGGGCATACATTTATATTTTATAATAGTTCTTCAAGAATATTAACTAAATTTTTTTTTTTAAATATAGGAAAAAAAAATTAACAATAATTTCCATTATAATATAATAATAATAATATAATATACGTATATAGCAGGAATGGGAAACTCAAAGAAACTATTAAGCGAAATGTTAGAACTTTAAAATCTGGCGGATCATAAAAAGAAAACACAAAAAAGAAAAAGTCATTAAAATTGACAATTAACATTTATTTTAAATAATTTAATTTTATGACTGTAAAATACAATAAAATAAGTGCCTAATACCTTTAGCTATACTTATAGTTAATTATGCCGATATGGATATAAATTATGCTTAGAAATTTAATTATTTAACTGGATTTGTTTATGGATTTATATACTAATTATTTATGGTTTCTTCAGTGACTGTTAATTGGATGTTAAACTGTACCTACACTTAACGATCAACGTAAAAGAATTAGATACCGATAATCGCTAAAATTTTATGTAGGGATTTGAAAAGGTGGCACGGGCCACATAAAAAAAATACGTAGAACGGATGCGGCTCGCGAGTTGCCAGTTGCCTATCCCTAGTGTACACACAATTTTTCCCTGCTAGTTAATCTAAAATAGTGAATCATCTTAGTATTGTAGTAATGTATTGTATTAGTAATTGTAGGTATTTTAAGACTTAAAATATATTAATTCTAAATATTTAATTTGAAATAATTACCATTTTGAATTGGTCCGTTTCGTTAATAGCCATATTCAAACGGAATAACGAGATGATAGTTTAAATCACAAACTAAAAATATACTAGTTTTGAAGAAAACAATAAATGACGTTTAGAAATTATAATATTATAATGTACAGGTCAACTGATTGACTTGGTGTGATAGATATTTCAATTAGTTTCGTCAACGATGTTAAAGTATGAAATGTTGCCTAACAACAGATTACTATTATTATAAACAACACATTTATTATATTGTGGCCAATATTAGATTACATATTTGTAATAATCAAATATTCAAATTGAATTTTTCATTTTGTATTTCATTTTCAAATTTTATTTTTTTTTTCAAATTTAAAGTGATAACTCTTCATCAATACAAAAATTAATAAATATCTATTAAAAATCGACCAAATACAATTAATAAATTATTTATGAATAGAATACTAAAACTATCATTTAAAAAAATGTGTGTTATTTTTATTTATACGATTAATTCGAAAATTGTTTATTATTTAAATTCAGATTCGAGACGGTATGCAAATTGAAAATATGCTCAACTTTTTTTTTTATGTTATTTTATTTATGGATTTTTAATTTATAAATGGTTTATTATCGAACCTACTCATATGAGATTTACTATAAATTATTAAAATGTATTTATAAAGTGAATTTTGAAAATTGTTTTGTATAACTGGTCACTTAAGTTGTTTAAACATCGTACAGTTATATTTAACTAGATATTGTACATCATACTATCATTCATCTTATTAATCATGATATTGATGCAAAGCCGTACAGCAGCCGTTATCGAAACGTCTGTTGCCGACCGTGCCTTTATCTCTCTTATCAACCACCAGACCGTGGCTCGCAGGACCGCCGCAACACCCCGTCCCACCCATCCATCAATGCACAGGGGATGCGAACGGTTGTGACGACGTCCGCACGAGAACACTATCGAACCGGTCCGTTCCGGTCAATTCTTCGAACACCGTGTGCGCGAATACAACGTATTGTTTTCTCCGTGCTCACGGAATCCAACATTAAAACTGTGACATCATTATTTTGTTTCTCTTGCGTAAACTCAAATATTATTGTTATTAACATTTTTCATTATTTTAACAGTGTACACTGAATCGTGTAATCTTCATTTGTTTATTATAATAATAATAAATCTATCATTACTACCGTAATTCAGTCAGCACCGCTGATCTTTTTTTATTATTATAATAGATTAGGTTTATATGGTCAAATTCGCAATGAATACATTAAACAATTATGGTTTTGTACTATCGATTATAAAATATGTCTTATCAACAGAGCTTGAGAAAATTAATGGACAATTTTAAATATTTTTAAAAACAGCATATTTCACCGGACGATCAGAATTTTATGTGATAGTATATCTATAGTAATATATTTTCTCCCAAAAATATGAAAAACATATGAAAAAATATATAAAATGTAAGTGTTATGGAATACAAAACCTTTTTCAAGTTTAAAACTTTATAATTTACTTTATTTTCTAGTTGTTTTTCTATTTTTTACATACTTATAGAGAAAACCGCTGTCACCAGAAATTATGATCATCTGATATATACATAGTCTATGTGTTTAAGAGATAATGCTTGTCCAAATGTATTACATGTATTTGATTGTAAGGTAATTAACAAATATGTAGGTATTTGACATTTAAAAGTTTTCGGTCTATGTTTGACATTAGTCATATTCATATTGTAATGGTTAAAAGTGCAAAATATTTTCAATATTTTTTTCATATTATTATTTATGTTTAAATAATTTAAAAAAAAAAATATTAAATATAGGATTTTTCTCATATAGGTACTATCTATATTTAAAAATCATAATAGATTGACGATATAGGTAGTTAGAATTTTTGTAAAAGACATATAGTAACACTATTGATTTTTTTGTAAATGTCTTCGCCAATACAAACACTTGTATGTGGATATAACACGTGGTGCTCATATTGAGTATACAATGTACAAACTACTCAACACTTTATGGCTTAAAAGGTTTAAAAAGGTTTACCGGTTGTAAGTTATTGAATTTGTATTTTTATCAGTACGAGCTTAAATTCAAACGTATAATGTAGGTGACATTTCACGAAACACTCGTTAATAACAACCACTTAAAAGTAAAATAAAAATTTCATGGATATTCTAGTGATTGAGAACAGTTTGAACTTTCCATTGTGAATCTATATCATTATTATCTATCATATCTATATATATTCAAAATTGTAGACAGCCCTTGGTAAATTATTTCCAACCCCATAATTTTACACATTTTCTCCAAGTAACAAACAATTATATTATATTTTAAATGTTGGAATAACTTATTTTTAATCTTGAGATTTTAAAACACATGGTGTACATATTTAAACTAGTTTTACACTGCGGTCACTACCACCTTACCTGCATTTCAAACTTTTCAATTCAACAACAAATATTTATAGTATCTATAAACCTTATACTTTTACGTATAAGATTAATGATAGAATCATACACGTGAATTATAAAAAAAATTATAGGACCATACAATATAATATAAACAACCATAAAAAGAATAAAAGATGACAAAAAAATGAAAATAGTAAAATTTAATAACCGTTATATAACGCAAATCGTTGACATCATTGAAATTTCACATATTAATAAAAGTTATTTTGTTTGTGGCGTTCCCACGTTCCATCAAAAAATATATTTTGGGTGTATAATTAAAGAAAAAATATAGGTACCTAGGATAAAAGCTCCATCCCCTTGCACAACACTTCAATTTAAACACTGATGTTACATTGACATTTTTTTTGTTATAATTTAAAATTATTGAATTTCCTTGGAACTCAGTGCTAGTTTATCCATAATATGTCGATTCAATACGGTAATTGTGTTAATCATAACTGATACCATTAAATATGTATTATCTTTGACGCAAAATAATAACGAGTAGCACAATCACACATTATGAATAATTGAACAATTTAATTGA